CCCCCCCCGAGTCGCGGTTCAGTCCCCGGGCATCCCTCGCTCTGGACACTCTGGCTCTTAAAGGGGCCGAGTGGAGGCGCGGAAGTAGGGATAGGTTTCCGCTTAAGGATCGCCAGGGCCTGGGCCACCTGCGCCCGGGGGCGGGGTGTGTCGAGGCTCCGGAACGCGGGGCGTTCAGCGCGGCTCTTCTGCCCCCCGAAGGCTGCTACGGGAAGCGCCACCTGGGAAGCACTAGGCCCTTTCTCGGAGAGACTCCCTGGAGGTCGCGAACTGGCCGCTGGCTGGCCGGTGCAGTGCCCGGGGATGTTTTGTTCGACTGCATCCTGTTAAAATTCAGGTCGGATCACGTACATCTATCTGCTCAAAACCTTCCTGTGGCTCCCCTTCCCAGAAGAAACCAAACTATAGTGGCCCGAGCCCTCTCTGATCTCCCCTCCTTCCCCTCTCCCCCTGGCTCATTCAACTTCAGCCACACCGGCGGCCCCTCCGCCCCGTTCTGGAATGTGTCTCTCAGGCTCCCACCTCAGGCCTATTGCCCTTACTACGACTCCCTCTGCCCGCACCCCCTTCCTGCAGATGGCCACACGACCTTCCATCTCCTTTAGGGCTTTAGGTAAAGGTCATTTCTTATAAAATTTCAACCCCTTCACGTCCCTCCCTCACCTCTTTATTTTTTGTGTATGTGTGGTAAAATATACCATAGTACTTACCATTTTAGCCATTTGTAAGTGTACAATTCAGTGGTATTAATTACATTCCCAGTCCTACCTACCTGTCCCCAGTATAAGCTCTGTATCAATTCAACAATAACGCCCCATTCCTACCTGCCCCCCAGCCCTTGGTGACCTCTCTTCTACTTTATCAAATTGCCTATTCTGAGTACCTCGTGTAGGTGGAAATGTCTACCATTTGTTACGTCTGGCTGTAGAGAACAAAATGGAGTCTCTCATGTCAAGCAGCGGCCTGTGTCAAGCCATGACGCAAGCAGGTAAGGTACCGCAGCTGGGAGACATCCCCGGGACCAACGTCAGCTGACACCCCAGAACAGATAATGAGCAGAACCAGAGAAGGTCCAGAGACCCAAAACTGATTAAATCCCTTTAAAAAGGGAAGGATTTTTTGGCCAGTAAACTCTCAGACTCTTCAAGCCTGACCCCTCTATGTCTGACCATTTAAAAAAGGCAAATGCCCCCGAAGCCTCTGCCAGATTGATCTCCGGACAGAACCGAGACCCTTCGTGGCTTGAACATCAGAAGCAGTAAGTGCCAAGAGCTGACCTGGGCCAGACAGAGGCCTTATCTCAGCTGCGCGCCCACAGACTGACTTAGCATTTGGTTCGTTCACTTCCTGCACCCCTCTGTTACCTTGTTTGTTGCGCGGGCTTGTCTTCTGTCCTGCTTTGTGTGCTGTGTCAGAAGCCAAGTTTAATCACATGGTGAATTGTCACTGAGTTTGGAATCCTGCACCTGTTTTATAATTGTGATTTAACTTTTTTTTTTTT